GGAAATAAAGTCTTTGTAAATAGGGAAGGGTAGAGGGCGTGAAGGGAGGGCTAGGAATGGGAAAAAAGTAAGAACCAAGATGCATTATGTAAAGGTACACTTCCCAATGAGAAATGTAATTGTGTTGTATACCTACAATGTACCAATAAAAAATTTAATACAAAAAAAAAGAAATAGTACTTATTTCTTGAGTAAAGGAAAAGCAAATGTCACACAAAATGATGTAAAAAGAAATGTTAGACCAGGTTAGGGAAATATAATTTCCAGTTTTTTCAAATACACACAATAGAGAAGAGGATAGGGAAAGGGAAGAAAAGGGATGAATCAAAAAACAGGTTTTCCAAGCAGTGCTCTACACTGAATGACCCTGCTAACTCCAGTGAAAAGGAGAGTGAGGGAGGATGTGGACAGAATGTATTTACTTTTCTACTCTATCTGGTTCCAGAAAGGAATGATGACAGCATATTCTGTGTCTTTGGCCACATCATTGAAAAAGTGTTTACAGAGTAAAACAGCTGCGAATAAAACCATTATTTTCAGCTGGACTAGATGTTAGAGTTAGAAATACCCTTAGATTTAGGGAGGAGTAGGGATGAATTAAGGGTCAAAATTGATTCAAGCTGGGAGATGTTGGAGTCTGCTGTAGCTTTTGGGGACTGACTTGAGCTGCCTTCTTCCTAGGGGTGCAAGAGGTGTCCCCTTTATTTCTGAAGAGATTGAGGGGGCTGCCATGGGACACAGAGGTGCCCTCTTGACTCTTTTTCCTGACCCAATTCTTGGGTAAAAGGTCAGAGGCACAGGGGCCATACTTCTGGTGATGAGAGTTAAGGAAGCTGAGGTTTAAAGCAAATATGGAATGCCGGAGGAGGAAGCAGAGAGATGAGGGCACAGTACAGGAGGCTGAATCTCTACATTTGCCACCAACACAGTGCAGCTCCAGGGGGTGCCAGAAGGTGATTGTGCAGTCATGAACAGAACTGGAGTATGAGGCCAAGGAGGAGCTGAAGGGGTACTTCCAGAAAGAGAAGCCCTTCAAGCCAAGTTCTGTGCTTGGCTACTTACTCCCTGCAAGGCTTCATGTAGCAGTTGGTTACCACCCTTCCCTCAAGGCCACAGCCTTCATCCCTACTGAGTGGGTCATCAACTATTAGCATAACTAGAACCCTAACAATCTTCTCTGGGACCCTCAGTCCCTGTCATTCTTGGTATAACACAGCACAGGGTTCTCTGTAAAACCCTAACATCCATGATTCCTACCAGGCCTCCTGTCCCAGTCGATCTTCATATGACTCCCCCAGTCGTAGTGCCCTCACTCCTGTCCCCTGACCCTACAGCTCTATGTTTCTAACATACCAGCTCTCACTGCTGCATACTCTGTCCTGCTACCTCAGTGGAGCCCTTATTTCCTGCATGACAAACTCAGATGTACACATGCCTCTCACTCTCCACCCTTCTGCCTTCTCCTACTTGCAAAAATAGGACCTTAAGCACCTACAGGAAACATAAGGACCCTAAGGGTGTGAAGTCACACAAGTCTTTTATCACCCTTCAATTTGAGACCAGAGAACGGAACAGGGAGGGCTCCTAAGGGCCAGGTTCCTGGGAAGATCCCTTTCTTTCCTTCCTCCATGAATGCTTTCCACTCTGCAAAAATGGTGTGTTTGTGGTGTGATCAAAAACTAAATTGAATGTTTAATTATTAAAAATTATCATAGTAAAAGATACACTGCCATTAATGTTCCTCAAAACACATTGCCTTGCTTTGAATACACTTATCCCATCATTTTTGCCACTTTTTGAAATAGTTCTGGAAGTTCTCTTTTGTGTCTTTACAAGCCGTGATCTAAAAATACAGTGAATGCTGCTACCAAGTGCCATCCAACAGACAGGCGGGCTTGTGAAAACATTCTGGTGTGTCCTAAATCACCTTATTCACTGAATCTGGCACTGTGTGACTTCTGTCTCTTTCTCAAAGTCAAAATGACCACGAAAGGTAAACATTTTCAATTGATTCAGGGTATCAAGGCAGCCAAGATAGTACACTTAAAGACACAAAAGACTTCCAGAACTGCTTCAAAAAGTGGCAAGAATGACAGAATACGTGTGTTCAAAGTGAGGGAACATATTTTGAGGATTAATGGCAATGTGTCTTTTACTGTAATAACTTGTTTTAAACATTCACCATATAATACATACTTTCATCAAGCTTCATAGGGCTTCCTGGCTTTCTGATTCCCATGTTCTTTCCTATGTCCTGGCAACTAGATTAATTTTCCTCCCTCCCTATGGTGGGATTGGAGTGGAGGTGAGATTGGGTTGGAATGGGGTTAGTTTGGAATCCTCGGGCTACCTATGTCCTGTAGCACGTCACATCAGAATTTACAGGACGAGGCTTGGGCACTGTCAGGACCTGGGCCCACTGGTGCTGAGTTTCAAAGAGTAGCTGCTCTCTCCTCTTTCCATCAGGCAGAGGGTGGTATTAGCCCACAGAAGAGAATCCTTGTTGGGGCCAGAGTGTTATCCAGAAGGAGCAGCACTAATCTAAGGAATCCTCCCAGAAGAGGGACAACTGCCCCTCCCCAAAATGAACAGGAAAGGAGACCGTAGAATCCCCATGTTGGGCTATTAGCCCAGTACCAGACTTCTCCTTCAGACTCCTCTGGATACTTAGAGAAGAATGCACGCATTAGTATTGATTAGTACAGGCCATAATTTGGCTCAATGAGGTAGGGGCCAAGTCACTTGTGGGAAAAGGACCCTTTATCTCTGGGGAATATTTCAGCCCATTTCTTTTTCCTTTACCTCTTCTGCAAAATAAGCTTGATTTTTAAAAAAACCCACCTCAGAGTATGACCCCCTTTTATAGTTTTGCATTATATTTTTCTTATTTCTTTTACTTCTTCCAAAAATACTACGAGATATTAAAGTAGATGCTGATTTATAGATACATATTTATTGACATAGAAGCCCACAACATATTTTGTTTAGTGAAAAACTACAGCATATACAACATCACTTGACCATTTTTATCTGTACACATGCGTATCTGGATACATAGATATAGGGAAAAATCTAGAACATTCACCAAAGGGCTGACAATAGTTATATGAGGGTGGAGACTTTTGGGTAATTTGTTCTTAAAGATTAACAGTGAATTATATAACACTTTCACAAAAAGAAAAAAGCTATCAAGGAAATGGGCACACACAGAAAATAGACTCTTAGGCAGTGGGGAGAGAGACAAAGGACAGAGCTGAGTCCTTTCCCTTCCACCATACTGGTAAGCCAGATCCTTTATTCTCCGGAACCTTTCTCCTCCACCCCAAAAGAAAGCTGTTTTGCAGATTAATTCATGCAATGAGAAGTCCCCCTCCCCCAGTTTTACCATCACTGAACTTTGAATATAGGGAAGAGGGTTCATTGAAAGCTGGGGGTTGGCATCTTACTGTGGCTCAGCGGGGTCACTCAATTCATGAGGGGCTTCTCTGGACCCCTCCTCCTCTGTATGTGTCAGCTCCTGCAGGGTGATGATCAGATTCTCAAAAACCTGGGCCTTGTTCTCATTGTCACAGATTTCTTTTGAGTGGCCCTCCTCCCCACAATAAGAACAGTACATTGTATATTTTCGTTTCCTGGCTCTACACATATCTCCAGGACCATTATTGTTATGCCCAGAACCACCACTAGCAGAAGGAGACTGAACTCCGCCATTGTTGGGAGAATCAGTGACCAGCATGTGGTCCTGAGATCTGGCCCAGCCAGTCAGTGGTGGGGCATCAGAGAATGACAGTGGAGGGTCCTCAGACTCCACCAGGATCACATCTTCATCTGAGTCATCGAGAGTATCATCTATTTCTATCACGTTGCAGTCAGCACTGCCAGTAGCCATTGGCAGGGAGCCTTGAAATGCCACAGGGCTAGTTGCTCTCTCCAACATTGACTCAGATCTTTTGGGCCGCTTCCACTTAATAAAAGTGTCATCCCAATCCTCTTCCTCCCTTATCATCCTGATTAATTCCAGGAAATTGGGAAGCTGGTCCTGCTCATTTGCATATATCCTGAGAAGATGCTTAAGCCTGAAATGCAGGTCCCTATTCAGCTCAGCCCCTACCAGGAGCTGGTGCAGACGAGTCTGGTTTGCATCTTTCTTAGCTAGGATGCCTGCCTGAATAGCATTCTGGAGCTGCACCTCTAAACGGATCACATAAAGGGAGGCTTTCTCCCCTTGTGCCTGCAGGGTGTTAAAAAATTTACCATGGACAGTCACACTGCTCTCAGGCTCCCCAAACACCAGTTTCATTGCCCGCAAAAAATCAGCCACACTTAGGTTGGGGTTGGCAGCCTGCAGCACATGCATGACCTCCCGGGCAGGACCCCTAAGGGTTTTCATCAAGCGTTTGAGCTTTTCCTCCTCAGACATATTCCAATCTGGCAGGACCCCATTGACTTGGATCAGCCAGTTTTCAAAGGTTTCTTCCCCGTAGGCTGGCACTGCCCTCCCAGAGAACAACCTCATGTTTCTCTCTACCAAGGTGGCCATCAAAGGACCAAGACTCCTCCCCAGGGACCTCAGCATGGAATGGGCCCAAGGCGGCAAGGCTGTGTTTTGCCTCCGTCTATTACCCACACAGGCAAGGATGCTAGCCATGCCTGATGATGATAGGGTATCTGAATACAACAAGGTGCTCAAGCTTTTCAGGAAAAACAAAAGCGTAATCAGCAGGTGTGCAGCAGGCTCAATCTTCCTCCTACTTCATTAGCGACTGCAAAAAACAGAAAAAGGGGTTATTAATAAGGAAGCAGGCTGCAGCCACATTCTCTCCCTACCTCAAGAGCCTTCCTTAGATTTTCTATCTGCCCACTGCCCTAAAAATACTCTGCAGGAGACTGGCAATTAAGGCATCCTGGAGCTAGCCAGGGTCCATGCGCTAGCAGGGTGCTTTTTGCAGCTAGTCCTCCAAGAGCGACAGCAACTGTTGCTTGGAATTCTGGGTTTAACAGTGTGTGAAGTTGATAATTGGACTGTCAAAATAGAGCACAATGGTCACAGATTTGTGAACATAAAATAAAATCTCATTAATTTTATGATCTCTGGTCTCAACCACACCCCCTTCTCACCACCCCCCGCTACCCCCTCCCATTATTTCTCAGATTCTTACACAAGTTCAGAAATAGGAGTGCGCCTTTATTTTACTTCCAGCCTCTGCAACTGGTGCCCTCGGTGAGAAAGCTCGCTTCCGCGGTATGGTCTGACTCCGTCCACAGAGGGTCGCAGATCCGGGTGCTCAGGGCATTGACACTGCGCCACAGAAGAGGGCAGGGAAGGGAAGGTTCTGAAGCAGCCTCAGCCTTAATACCGATACTCCTCCTCCTCCCACCGCCTCTCCTGTCACCGGGCGGAAAATTCCCTCTCCCACCTTGTAAATAAAAGTCCAAACGACCCCCAACCCCGCGCGCTCAATCCGCCCCCCCCCCCGACCATCAGCCTACCCAGCTCTACAATCAGTTGTATGGAATTCAAGTTCAGATTCGGCTTTGAGGGGCTGCCACGGAGAAAGGGAACAGCATTTGGACACACCCACCCACAGTGAAGGGGGTTCAAGCCAAACATGATCCCCCCCCACGTATCCCCCTCCCCCTTTCCAATCCAGGCAAATCCTACCCAAAAACCCAGGTAAACCCCACCTCTTCAGCGCAGTCGGGCCATGGAAATGCTCCTTTTCCAGCCGCGAAATCCCAGATTTTTCCAAGCTGGAGCCGCCCTGGACTGGCGGGACTTACCCCTCCCCTCTCTGCGCCAGGGAATGTTCCCTTTCTTTACCTAGGCTCCGCTGGTGGGCAGCGGATGCTCTGGCGACCACAGCTATGGATTCCTCCTTCTGGTCTCCGCAGCCCAATAGAGGAAAAGAACAGGCGTCGACTTGGCCGCTAAGAGACCCGAGGTTGCCGGGTGGAGCCGCTTCACAAGGCCGCCCAGCGTTGAGTAGCCAAGGCGAGGCAGCACGGTTTTCTAGGCAGTCGAAGCTGCTTTATCTTCCACCCCTCCACCCCCACCCCCACCCCCCGAGACAAAAGCCTGACGAGCGGACCAAGGCGGCCAATCAGCGGAGCCGGGGGGAGGGCATCCATCGCAACCCAGGGCCTGGCAGAGCCAGAGGAGCCTGAGGTGCAGCTGGCAGACAGGGCCTGGACAGCAGCTCAGTCTGCAGGAGGGAGCCAATTTGCAACTCACCCTAGAATTTGCGACTATTTCTCCTTCCCTCCATTCTTTCATTCTCCCTCCCTCTCTCCTTTTCTTCTCCTTTTTTCCCTTTGGTTCACCTCAGCGCCTGGAGGCCTGGTGCATTAATCATGAGTTGGAACCAAAATCAAGTCAAACAGTGGAAGTTCCTCACCCTTGTATACCGGGAAGGAGAGAACGTTAGTACTATCTGTGCAAATAGGGTTCCATGGGCAACTCTTATTGTGATGGAGGGGATAACGTGTCCAATTAACAAAGAAGAGATTTAGATCACAGAGACTTATCTAATACTCACACAAGTATGAGTGCAAAACTGGTTGCATCAGGTTTATTTGGGAGAGCTAGTTAGAAATTCAGATTCCTGGCCTCATCTCTAGGAAATTCTCTCTGAGGTGTGGAGAGAGTAGTGAAGAAGTAAATGGGCCCGTCTCCATTGTATCTGTGAATATTTTATAGTGAAATGCAGCACCTGGGGAGCTGTTCTTAGCTGGGGCCATAATCTTCCCAAAATTGTGTGTTAAGATTTTGGATTCTGTAGCAGGCTGAATAGTGGCCACCTCAATGCATTCAAATTCCTGTCACTGCAACCTGTAAATGTTACCTTATAAAGTGAAAGGGTCTTCACAGATGTGACTAAGTGAAGGCGGTTGATTTGGGGAAATTATTCAGATGAGCCCTAAATCCAGTCCCTGATTTCTAAGTAGAATTTTGTTCTGTATTTAAATTGGCTCCATCACCAAATCCAGTCCTCTGCAGTGGGACCTGATGGCATTACAAGGAGACTAGGTCTCAGAAGTCTGACAACACATGTTGACTGTGTGATGGTGTCTGGGTTGGTTCATCGGAACAAAGCCAGGGCCTCTTCATGTAGGGCTTGGAGGAGCATTTGCTGAACTGGCTAAAACAGGGTATGGAGTATGTCTTATCCCTGGTCTCATGTTGCAGGAGAGGGGTTTGAGGTGAGAGGCTTTCCAGTTTTAAAAATTTTAGTTCAGGTAAGGAGGCCACATTTTATTTTCTAATTATAAAAATTAAATCTTAAAGGCCCGAAAGTTAAGTGCCAAAGATTTCAGTTGAAACAGTAGCTACCTTGGGCTGCCTTCCTCCTCTGTGCCAGTTTTCCATCCCTTATCTCATCCAAGGATCTAAGCAACCCTATTGAGATAGGCACTGTTATCCTAGCAAAGGAGCTGAGCGCAGACTGGCATCTCACACTAGGATTTTGGTTCTTCTGAACTCAAAGCCTGGATGGGGATATGCATGGCTCCCACCTTGTCCATGTTATTTGATACTCCAAGGGCAGCATTGTGCATAGAAATATTCAAAAGGAAAGTGAAGATATTTGTAGACAGACAAAAACTGATCACCAGCAGACCAAACTAGTGGAAATTAAGAATGTACTTCACAAGGAAACTGATACCAGAAGAACTAAATACAGGAAGGAATGAAGAGCACGGGAGGTGGGAGAAGGACATGGACAACATAAGTGAATATCGATGGAAGAAAGAATCATACAAACATCCCTGCTGGATTTACAGAAATAAAGTACTACACAATAAGAAAAGACATCAAGAGGGGCATAAATAAAATTCAACTTTTCTAAGGATATTGTATCACATCAGAAGTGACTTAGGTATTTATACTTTGTAAAGGTAATTGTATTGTAGTAATTAATAGGACAGGACTATTAAAATAATGGAAACATGATATAAAATTCCAAACTACCAGAGAGGAAGAAAATTGAATAATTAACAAAGACCTCAATTTTATTTATTTATTTACTGAGGATTGAACCCAAGGTTTTATGCCTGGTAAGCACTTACTCTACCACAGAGTTATGATCCCCCAGCTCAATTTTTTGTAAGTCAGGAAAGAAGAGGTTAAAGAGACATAGGTGAGACAAAAGCACAAAATAAAATGATAGCTTTAAACCTAAATATAGCAACAATTGTATTAAATGTTTTGAGAAAAATATTCAAGTTAAGAAACAAGTATCCGTTTCTCAGTTCCTGGCTATCTTGTTGGTGCTCTTCGCACCTAAGGCAGAAAGATAGCAGCTGCAAAGAAGATGAAAAACTCTCTGGATTTCATCAACTCTAGGCTCCAACTTGTTATGAAAAGTGGAAAGTACATGCAGGGGTACAAGCAGACTTAGAAAATGATAAGAAAGGGCAAAGTGAAATTGGTTATCTTCACCAACAACTGCCCAGTTTTGAGGAAATCTGAGAATATTATGCCATGTTGGCCAAAACTGGTGCCCATCAGTACAGTGGCAATAATATTGAACTGGGCACAGCATATAGAAAATACTACAGGGTATGCACACAGGCAAAATCATTGATCCAGGTAATTCTGATGCCATTAGAAGCATGCCAGAACAGACTGGTGAAAAATAAACCACGCAGAATTTCTCGTTGATAGAACTTGCCAGAGCTCATTAAAAAAAAAAAAAAAAAAAAGGCTGGGCTTGGTGGCGCACACCTTTAATCCCAGCATTTGAGAGGCCAAGCAGGGGGATCACCATGAGTTTAAGGCCAATCTGGCCTACATAGGGAGTCCAAGGCCAGTCTGAACTACATATTAAGAGTCTGTCTCAAAAAACAAAACAAAACAACAAAAAACAAGTGTCATCAAATATAACTGCATGCAGTTTAAGAGACAAACTCAAAAAGATAGGCTGACAGTAAAAAGATGAAGAAAAGCATGCAATTAATGTATAAAGGATAAAAAATTCTTTATACTTTTATTCACATCAAACAATATATTTTAAAGCAAAGAGAATTATTAGAAATATAGAAGGTTATTTTATAATGATAAAAGGTTCAACTCTCCGGGAATTTTAGCAAATTCACATGATTATGCACTTATAGCAAAGCTTCACAGAAAGACAAAATTAACTTACTAAAAGGAGAAATAGGCAAATATACAGAGTGGAAGGTCATACCATACTTTTATCAGCAATTGATCAAGACAAAATGTCTCTAAGAATATAGAATTTTTAAAAGAATATGATTAGTATCTTGAGCTAATAGCTAATGTAAAGAACACTGCAACCAACAACTACACTGCAGTATACATGTATAGAACAGTTAAAAAATTTGATCATATACTAGGCCAGAAGGCAAGTTCAATACATTTTGAAGAATTAAAGTCTGATCACAATGTAAATAAGTTACAAATCAGTAGCATATAGGTAAGTGGAAACTCTAAGCATGTTTAGAAACCAAGACACACGTTCAGAAATAAGTGATGGGTCAAATAAGGGTGATTGTAGAATTTAAATATATTTTTAGCTGAGCTAGCTGCAGGGACACATGCCTGTATTCTCAGCTACTCGGGAGACTGAGATTTGAGCCCAGCGATTTGGAGCCAGCCTGGGCAACATAGGGAGCCTCCGTCTCAAAAAAATTAGGGGAATGATAATGAAAATACACTTATCAAAACCTGTGGAATGCAGTTAAACCAGTGCTTAGAAGGAAAACTCTACTAGCAAAGATGAAAGGCCAAAGTTAATCAGTTAAGCATTCATCTTGAGATGTGAGAAAAAAATTAAAGAAAGCCAAAAAAAAGCCCAACAAAATTTTAAAAAATGGTATGATTAAGATCAGAAATTATTGAAATAGAAACCAATGAAAATAACCAGTCGAGAATAATATCCTCTCTTGCCACTTCTATTCAGTATTGTGCTGGAGATTCTAGACAGGGCAATTAGTCAAGAAAAGGAAATAAATGACATCCAGATTAGAACATAAGAAGTAAAATTCTAATTTTAGATGATATGATTTTGTATATAGAACTCTTAAGGCAATCACTAAAAAACTACTAGAACTAGTAAATGAGTTCAGCAAAATTGTAAGATACAAGATCAATGTAGAAAAATCAATGGTATGTCTATATACACTAGCAGTGTACAATTCAAACATGAAATTAAGAAAACAATTCTAATAGTATCAAAAATTAAATATTTATGGGGCTGGGGATTTAGCTCAGTGGCATCACGCCTGTCTCGAAAGTGCAAGGTGCTGAGTTTGATTCCTGATACCGCAAAATAAATAAATATTTATGAACAAATCCAACAAAAGAAGTATAAAATTATTAAGCTGAAAATCGGGAATCACTGCTGAAAGAAATTAAAGGTCTAAATAAATGGAAAGACATTTCATGTTCATGGGGTGGAATGTTTAATATTGCTAAGATGAAGAATCTAGAGATTTATCTATGGATTCAGTGTAATTCCTAGCATAATGTCAGTTCACTTCTTTTTATAAATTGACAAGATGATCCTAAAATTCATATGGAAATGGAAGTATAGGGGACCCAGAGTAGCCAAAACAATCTTGAAAAAGAAGCACAAAGTTGGAGGATCTGCACTTCCCACATTTATGGTCAGTTGGTTTTTGTCAAGAGTAACAAGGCCATTCAATAGAGAAATAATCTATTCAACAAATAATGCACAGAAAACTGAATATCCACATGCAAAAAAATGAATTTGGACCACTACCTCATACCATGTGCAAATATTTACTCAAAATGGATCATAGACCTAAGTATAAGATCTAAAATGATAAAACTCTTAGAAGAAATCATAGAAGTAAATCTTTGTGTTCTTGAGTCAGGCAAGATGTTCCTAGGTATGACACCAAAACATAAGCAACAAAAGAAAGCACAGATAAATTGGTATATGTGCTGCCGAAGTGAGCACAAGCACAGATAATTGGACTTCTTCAACATTTAAAGCTTTTGTGTATCAAAAGACACCATCAAGAAATGTAAGGCAATTCACAGGATGAGAGAAAATGTACGCATA